CAACAAATGTGAAATATGAATTTCCCATTAACGAAATCAAATAAACAATTGATTTAAATTTTCGAACAAATATATCTCAGAATATGCTCCAATCGGATTTTTCATAAAATGAGGTCACAAATTCTAACAACGTGTGACTACCCAAACCATACACACCCAACAAATGTTAAATATGAATTTCCAATTAACTAAATCAAAAAAAGATTAATTTACCTTTCGAACATTAGGATGTCACGATTTGGTAAGGGTTCCGTGACTAGTTTCAAACATCGAATCTTTAATCCCTTTCATACTTTTTCTTTTCTCTACTTTTCTTCTAGGTTTCTCACCAATCTTCGTTTGACTTTTGGAGCATTACTCCTTGTTAAAACCATCTTCAATATCTGGTATTTTTTGGATGAATTGTAAAACCTGTTTGACAAGTACGCTGAGGTCACAATGTAAAGATAATGGGTTTTGTGATGAAATGGAAAAGACCACTATTCAGTTTATGGAGAAGATGATCGGGGGTTTTGTGAGTAAAATGGAGGTTTAACGTGGAAGGGTTCTTCACATTTCCTGTTTTAGTATATAAAACTTTTTATGTTTCCAAAATACACTGAACTTAAATTTGGTGTGTGCTGTGTGTGTGTGTGTGTGTGTGTGTGTGTGTGTGTGTGTGTGTATATATATATATATATATATTTATTTATTTATTTATTTATTTATTTATGTAAATATCTGACATTTGAAATAAAAATTATAATATTTGATATTTGAAATGTAGTCTTCAAAATTCTAGGTCAATGTAACTACCACTATATATTATCTCTATATATCCTCTCTTTATGCAGGATATAGATAATGTTTATTACAAGGCCAAATACAGAAGAGAATAGTGCACTAGTAAGGGGAAAAAAATACAGAAGAGAATAGTGCACTAGTAAGGGGAAACCATCCACATGCTTCCTTTTCGCAAGGAAATTCATGAGGCCGCTGCTCCAAGACTTCTTAATACGGTTAGTGTGACACTTTGATGCTCTTTCAATGTCATTTTAAATCAAGATTTCAAAAGGATCATACGACTTATTGATTGATGGCATGTTTGGCTAAGTTTAAAATGTACTTTTTACTGTTTAAGCAACTTTTTTTGTAGAAAATGTTATTGATCGAATACTTCTAGGACTTTTACGGTCGCAGTTTGCTTTGGGAGTTCACGTTGAAGCAACAAGCTAAAGCTGACATATATCAATGCAATTAGCCCCTATTTGTAGTAGATTAAAATCAATTTTTTAGTAAATTTTGATAAAAGTTGATAAAATGTGTGGTTGAAAAGTTGTGAACCCTATAAAATATGTGATTAAAATTAATTTTTGACTTTGACTTGAAATTAAAGTTAGATTTTAATGAGAAACAAACATGGGCTTAATAGCCATTGTAAGTTCATTTTCAGGTAGAAGACAATTTAGGATTTACCAACCTTTCATGTATAAAAGAGAGTTGTAAAGAACGGAGAAGAATTTGTTGGTGTAGAGTGATATAAAACATATTATTGTTTTTATACCATGTAATAAACGCGATTGTATTGATATATTGTACTCCTTTATTAGTTGGGAAATGAAATTTTACGTCCTTCGGATGTCAATGAAGTCAGTCTCAAAGAGATTACAATTAATTAATCTTATTCGAGATTCAGATCTGTTCTTTCCTTGCTATTATAAAAAGAGCGTGAGACGAGAAAAAAAATTACAAGATTTTCATTGTATAGATGCACGTATATGTACTTTAGTTAGTTAGACGGATTGCAATAGATACCATTGTTGGATGCAAATAAAAGTTAGATGACCTGTTTTCTCAAAATTAATGATTAGCGATTGGTTCCATCTTCATTGAAAGTTCAGTAACTGACAATGCATTTAATCCCAAATTTGTTTTGTTGATAACTATTAAAATGTTTGTACATAAAAAATACTATATATAATTATATAAACTTTAGGGAAAATTGTAGCCACAACCAAATCTTTCTAATTTTCGCAGACTTAACTCAAACCTTTGTTTTGTGTCAACGGAGGTACCAAACGTTTCAAAAATATACACCGAAGCCAGTTGACCAAGAATAGTAAATTTTGAACAATTTTGACAAAATGGGAGGGGTAAAATGATAACTTGACAGTTTTAACATAAAAAAAGGAAAATTAAAAAAGGTTAGACTATTCAAAATCTTCCCAAATTTCATCCCCACCCTACCCCATCCCTAAAAAACAACCACCACGGCCTTCTCCCACCACCACCATTGTTGCCTCCACAACGCCTCTTGAGCAGGCGAGAATGCAGGCATCCGGCCATCAGGGTCCTATCTCCTTGTATTAGAAATCTCAATAATTTTGTCTTCATCACCAGAAATCAGCTCGTGCACATTAATCCACGCCCTCAGTATGCTGCCTACTGGCCTTTATAATGCTCCCTGATTTTCCAATAACACCCCTAAATCATGGCAAAGAATTCGATAGCTGGTGGTAACCATAAAAGAAAGGTCCTGCATTTTCCGTCCGCCGCCACCGCCACTCCAACTCCCACTCCCACCTCCCCCAATAGATCGGATGTGGTTACCAGAAACAAAATGTTGTCCTCCTCCCATTCCGCCGCCACTGTATCGTGGTTTCGTCCTCGAGTGTGAGGCTTCGGAATCATAGTCCTGGTCATAATAAAACCTCTTAGATCTCGATCTCTCCATCCGATTCAGTCCAATCTCCTCAAATTTCAACTAACCCAATTAGGGTTTTTCGGAAACCACAGTTTTGACAGATTCTCTGTGCTTTTTCACTAGTCACAGAATTTTTCTTATTTTGTTCAGAAGATGTTACTAAAACTGAGTCGGGGAAAATTTAAGTAGAGAAATTTTTGGGTTTTAGGCTTTGAGCAGAGTAGCCAGTAGTCAATGATTCTTGAATATATTGAGATTTTGCCAAGTATTAACGTATGAACCTACACTTACAACTTTGTTGTATCTATGATTATTGAGGTCTCAATATCCGGTGATTTTGGAGGCCGAAAGTAGCCGGAAAATGAAGGGTTGTTTTTTAGGGTAGGGCAGGGCGGGGCGGGGCGGGATGGATGAAATTTGGAAAGAAGCTGAATAGTCTAACCTTTTAAATTTTCCTTTTTTTTTTTATGTTAAAATTGTCAAGTTACTATTTTACCCATTCCATTTTTGTCAAAATTTACTATTTTTGATCAACTAACGGTCAACTGGACGGAAACCGTCCATTTGGACCTCCGGTGCATATTTTTGAAATGTTTGATACCTCCGGTGGCACAAAACAAGGGTTTGAGCAAAGTTTGCGAAAATTGGAAGGTTTGGTACCGTGGCTGCAATTTTCCCTAAACTTTATTAGAAACTTTGTAATATAAAGAATAATAAAATTAAATATAAAATAAAGTTTACAATATCAAAAATTTATAGATATAAAAATAATTACTAACAAAAAAAATAAATTTTTTAAAATAAAAAAAAAAAAAAGAGACAGAGAATGCTCCTAAAAAGAGTTAAAGAAATGTTCTGATCAAGAATCCAGACTGCATTGTGGTGACTGAGATATAGCGACACTGTAGGAGTGATGTTTATTGTGTGCATTTTTAAGATAAGGTTTTGTAATATTTAGTGATAAATAAATATAATTTTGGTTAATTAAATATGTGGACACCAGGCCGACCAAACGCTGACATAGCAGTTACTAACATTTTATTTGTTTTTCTTTCAACCAGTTCAAAGTCCAAAAGTTTACATATAGGTAAATTTGTTTGTAAGTAATAAATTTAAAAGTGTCAAGAATTATGAGTTGAAAGTAAATTCGAGACAGAACACTCAAATGAAATAGAATAACTCATATAATTTTTATGTCTAATCCCTATTATCAGGGCCGGCCCTGAGATTATAGAGGCCCAAGGCGACGAATTTTTATGAGGCCTTCAACATGACCATTTTTTCACA